TCGTCTTTTGGACAAACATGTGGCCCGCTTCTGGTGGGGGGCTGTGGAGGACCATTCGAAGGTTCGTTGGGTATCGTGGCGAAATATGTGTACGAGCAAACATGATGGGGGGATGGGGTTTAGGCGGTTTGAGCATTTTAATCAGGCTCTTCTGGCAAAAATTGGGTGGCGTATTCTAACGGACCCGCAGTCCCTTCTGGCCCAAGTTTACAAAGGTAAATATTTCCCCCGAGGGACATTCCTTCAAGCGACGGCTTGCTCCCGCCCTTTGTAGGGTTGGCAAAGCATCCTGTTTGGTCGACAGTTGCTGGAGAAGGGGTTACGATGGCAGATTGGGAATGGTCTCCCTGCTCCATTCTAATTGGATACCCGGTTACAACTTGATCACCCTAGGTATAATCCGCAGGTGTTGCCGGAAGGGGGTGACCCGCTGGTGGAGGAGGTTTTATGCCCGGGTGAATGGGAATGGTGTGACCTTAAGCTCCGCCAGTGGTTTGATCCGCCGACCTGTCAGGCCATTAAAGCTATCCCGCTTCCGCGCAGGGATGTGGAGGACAGATTGATCTGGAATGATACTGTTGATGGTGTTTTCTCCGTCAAGTCCGCCTACCATCTGGCTGTCTCCTGGATAAGGGGGGGGGGGGTAGGTGGAAGTCGTTGGCTAGTTGGATGGATAAGCCCAGCTGGGTTCACCTATGGAATGCAGATATTCCCCCTCTGGGACTATTCGGGTCTGAACTATCTTGGGGAGGGACTGCCTCGGCATACCTTCCCTCTGTTTCTGAAGAGACTGTTGGCTTTGGTTCATAACCCATCGTTGTTCATGGCTGTGGTGGCGGTTCTGTGGCGGATTTGGCAATCTCGGAATTGGGTTGTCTTTGAGGGCAAGCAGTTCGGGATCCCAGCGCTGATGCGTCAATTCCACTAGCAGTATGAGGAGTGGATTAGTCTCTCCACGGGCCCGGTACCGCCGTAGGTTCCACCAGCTCTAGCTCATATAAGTCCTATTGGGGATAGCAGGGTGGTTTGTATGTGGGATGGGGTGACGAGAAGTGGGTCTCACTCGGCTTGTGGGATGGTTCTTCTGAACCCTGGCAGGGAGCTCCTCTTGGCGAAGGGAGTTCAGTTCAAGTCGATTGATGACCTAATGGTTGTGGAATTGTTTGTACTCAGGGAGGCAATTGTATGGTGTCTTAAGATCGGCTTTTCGGATGTTAGATTCGAGGGGGATGCCAAGGTGCTCATTGGTAAGGTCAACATGGCAGATACTAGAGAGAACCGGGTGGGGGTTGTGCTTGAAGAGATAGTAGCTTATTTTCAGGCCCATTCTGGTTTTACTATTCGATTTGTAGGTCGGAGTAACAATAGGGTAGCCCATATGGTGGCTAGAAAGGCCCTTTCTTTGTACCCGACTATGAGTCGGCGCTTTGATTTTCGGACCTGGCTTACTTCCAGGATGTAACTATCGATTTATCAATATATGATTATCTTTTGTAAAAAAAAATTTTTTCACTCATATCGATTGAAGAAGCTCTAACAACCTAATCAGATTCTATCTATCTTAGGTTGCAGCAGAAATCAAAAGAAGTTGATCAGGATTCAATTGACTCAATAAACACACTTCATTCGATTAAAACCAATCTGCATATCAATCCAAAAGTCATTACAACTCAAATCCCTAGCACATGGAACTAGGGTTCTTCATACCCAAGTGAGAGAAAGGTCTACTCCATAGAGAGAGAGAGAGAGAGAGAGAGAGGAAAACAGAAATCAAAGCAGTCATACTCATAAAGATGGGAATATATATGCTCTGGAATGTCAATCTTCACTCTAGGGATGCAATCTGGGGTTCAATGGTGAGAAATCCACTCCAAAATAGCTCTTAGGGTTTGTTCTTCTGCACTCTCTCTCTAAAACTCTGTTTTTTTTTCTTCTTCAAAAAGTCGACCTTCTCAAAATATGAGCTCCTCTCCAATAAAACCCGCACAGGTGCAAAAACACGGCCTCTAAGCCATAAAAACCCGGACGTGTTTTAATCAGAAGAGGTCGTGTTTCGAAATGACAATTCTATGAAGTGTAGAGGAAAAACCTGGCATCTGACACAAGGCCATGTTTTTCAGCATAGAGGGTGTGTTTCTCAGCAGCCCTTCTGCCCGGTTTTTGCGATCGACCTTCTTTCACCTCCAAATATCCCGAAACTCGTCCCCAAGCCATGTCTACATACTAGGACCTGAAATATGACATAAGAACACAACCTAGCGTAAAATAGGCCAATGAACGATCAATCGCTAAGCTAAACGATCAAGAAATGAAGGGAAAAACTTGTGTGAATGCGATGTTATCAATACTACCTCGCCTAACTGGGTTATACTTAGCATAGTTAGGTAGGCTAGTAGAATATAGTGCATCGATTTTATTACTCGTGTGTGAACCGTTAGGATCACACCAAGTTTTTGTTGCAATTGTTAGGTACTATTGGGTTATAGTGAAAAAGGGTATAGTTACTAGTTTAACTGTTTACTTTCTTGCACTTTGTTTTTGTTGTTAGTTTGCATTTTTATTTTCCTTGTTGCATTCACAGTTGTTTCCAATTGTAATGGCATGTAAGAATGGAATGAGTGGTTGCGATGGACAAGAGCCATCATGCATGTGGAAGGACAATGAGTTATTACTCTCAACTAAAATTCAAGGATGTCCAATCTCCAAGCAAACATTGAGAGAATCTCACGTTTAAAATTAACTCGAGTGTAATAACCATGATCTAATCAAGAATTCAATCCATGTTTTGGAAGACGAAAGTCCACACATTCATATTCAAGATTTTCTTAACCTCACTGATGTAATCAAGCCGATTGGAATTCCTTAAGAATTCATCTTTCTACGGCTTTTCTTATTATCTCTTAATGAGGAAGCTAAAGATTGGTTCAAGAATTAGCGACACTCTCTATAAGCTCTTGGAAGGATCTTTATGAGAAGTTTGTCGACCATTACTCCCCCCCCCCCCCATCTAAAGCTTCTCAACTCGAAAGAGAGATCTTAACTTTTAAACAAGAAACTATAGAATTGTTTCATGAAGATTGTGAGTGATGCAACTTTCTCTTTCTTAAATGTCCCAACTATGAAATCAGTGATTGGCTTCAATTGGATTGCTTCTACAATGGATTGAGTAGTGAATGCAGATAACTCATCGATATAACTACTGGTGGAACTATAAGGAACAAAGAGTTGAAACAAGTTTGTGAAATCTTTTATCAAGTGGTGGCAAGTCGAAGATGTTGGGAAGATTATAGAGGGACCAAGGTATCTAGCAAAGATAAGGTACTTACCACAACTAACCTTGTTCCTCTCTTAGAAATGGTCTCTCTTGCCACCAAGATTGAAGGGTTAACTTGTGGATTCCATGGCAATGGAGGTGTTCATTTTCCATCAAGGATGAAGCAAGTCTTTGCTTTTGGTAATTTGGGAGCACGGGTTTTCAATTCACCTCTACAACCTAGTCCAACTTATTGTCTTCATTGTATGAAGAACTCTACTTTACATGTCAAAGATTGAAGAACGGATTTCATAGGTTTGAGGAAACGACTGGACAATAGATAGCTGCAAGCCACAAGAAATTTGATAGTCTATATAAATTTCATGAAGCATATCGCTCAACACATCCAATTTCTAAAAATTGTTGGACATCCAGCACTACCACATTCGACGAGCACACCACTGAGGGTGGTCGCTGCATCAACTGTTATTGTAATTACTGAACTTGACAAAAGGTGGCAATAATGTAAGAGGAGTTGTCATGCTTCGTGAAAATTTGTAAGGAAGGAAGAGGAGCTAATCGTAGCTCCAATGACCACAATATTCCCCCAACCGCAACTGTTGTCAATCTCATCGCGTGGAAGAAAATCATGACAATCATGACAGACATTCGACAGGGAAAGTTGTCAACAAGAATATACACATATATAATTATTTGAAGGAAGGCGATATCAATACAAGCCACTATATAAGAAATCGTCTCAAGACGAGGAAGTTCTTCTATTGGAGAAAGAAGTTGAAGAAACGACGAGATGCTACTGTCGATACTATAGTTACTCATGAGCCTAGATTCAATCAGGAAGGCAGCTCCATCCTGAAAGGTTTGTCGAAACAACATTTGCGAAGAACTTCAAGCACTTATTGTTAATATTGTCACTGAAACTTTTGATGTTGTATTCTCGCCTCTTGCCACTCGTGCTCTAGGAGCTGCGGCCTGCGTGAGCGATGACCAAGACAATGAAGTGGAGAGTTGAAGCAGGCACCAGTGCTAGGTAATTCATTTAAGTACCCGAGCGCAATTGGAAATATCAAAAGCACGTGCGTGGTCGCCAAACCCTTGTTGGCGTCTACAATGAGTTAAGTGGAAGGTTCTTCTACATCAACCCAGGTTGAAGCATGTGTGCTCATCCCGCAAACCTTGGGGACAAGAAGGAGGAGCGAAGAATGTTCGAGATAGAGCAAACGTTACAATTCAAAGTATTGGGCTTGCGTATATTTTAATTATTGGTGTCTAGTTATTTTATGGAATTGTTCAAGTTACTTGATTATCATATTTGTTCTATTCGGAATAGGATTCATGGTATTATTATTAGAACCCAATTTATATTTCTTTTTCTTTTGTTATTTCTTCGTTCAATTAGTAGTTTCGTAGCTATTTTGAGTTGTTCTCGCCATTAAAGATGTTCTTTACTCAAGAGTTTCGAGAAAACTATCCTAAAATCCATAGATAAAAAATTCAGCACGTAGAAAGCGGTCCCGAAGGCGCATCTAGCATCTATGTAATAACAGTAGTCGAATCCTAATGCTGCGAAAATCTTGCATTAAGTGAGTGGATACTCTGTATCTTTTGTTTCTGGTGGAAGTGGATACTGCAGTGCGTTGTACATATCCTTAGAGCAACGATCAATGGGTAAAAGAAATTATATTTAGTTTAAAACATATAATCAGTGAGTGAATCAATAAAAGAGGAAGAGGTTCTCAGGTCCGTCTTTGTTGTTTTCTTTTCTCTGTTATTCATAATCTTCAGGAGAGGCAAAAGGGTACTTGAGGTAATCGTTCTTGATTTGGGAAGGATTTTCAGGTTTAGACCAAGGGTACTTCATTGATGGATCTCTTGGGAACTTCCTGAAGTTGAGAAATGGCGCCCATAACATTACCCTGCAATCACACATAATAAGTGTCCACACAAAGCAACTAATCAATCACTTAGAGGAAGACAAACTCACCCTGGGAAGAAGAGGAAGACAAACATGAACTGCAGATACATTTCCAGCAGTTTTCTTCTGTACCACCTTATCCTCAGCCAGTTCATTATGACAGGCTGTGGTTTTCCCACCGCCACACCATAACAAATTAATTAATTGTTAGCTGTTATTACATGAAACTAAACCTGACTAGTATGCATTAAGTACTTGAAAGAGTCAATTGATTAAAATTAACTGGACTCACAGGCATGATGATGAAGTACCAAAAGGCAACAATGGCTACTTGGATCAAAGTCCAGGTAAGATCTTCCTCATTATTCACCCCTGTAACTGCATATGCCGCTCCTGGCTGCACAAGCTGAAACAACAAAACGATAATTTCATCAATCAAACTCAGATTAAAAGGAAGACAAAAAAGCGCTGTTAATTGAAGTTGTTTTTGTTTAGGTCCTCTCACAATGGCCACAAGTGCCCCAAGTTGAATGGACAAGTTGCTGCTGCTGCTGCTGTTGAAGAAGCCCTCATCATTAGCCTTTGAGATATGCAGAATTCTGCTGCTGCTGCATATTGTTTGCTGCTTCTTGTTGTGGCTATGTTGCTTGGTAATGTGATGAGCTGATGGTGCAACATGGAAACTAGAAAGGAACTTTGGCGATGTAAATGTGCTCTTGATAATAACGCTATTCCTGGCGTGATGGGGAGAAAAGCAAGGCAAAGAAGCCTGAGGGATGAGACTCAAAGAATACTGCCTCATCATTTTCTTCCTTCCTTTTCTTTTGCAGTTCTATTTTTCTTTCTTCTTCCCGTTCCTAACAACCAATTTTGCTTTCTCTTTTTTTCTTTCTTTTTTTTCTGTTGTCGTCCACTGCTGCTTTGAATTGTGGCCATAGGATTTCTGAGTTTTTATCCACATTGTACGCTGTCTCTACTTGCATGATAATAAAGCAAGAGGTCAGGCGCTGTTGATTTATTAATTAATAGCATCCAAATGGCCTCTTATCCAAATTAACCCACACAGATTTTGCATTCCAAAAGTAGACCAAACCTTGTACAAAAGATCTTGAAATTTGTTGATGATCGTTTGATCTTTACGGATAGCTCAATCAAAAGTATTATTATAGATAAGAGTCGTTTTGATGAGTTTTGTAAGTTGTTCGAGTTGACATATAAATACTTTCTATGGAATACTTCTCCTTCAGTTAGGTTTTGATGAACCCTAGGCATGATTAGCTTGAGTGAATGATTGAATGAGTAATCCATCTTGATATTCTTTTCATATCCAATCTATGAATATTTTGATGTTTAATTCTTCTTTGATCAAGATTGATTTTTCTATTGACCTATGAGAGAGAAAATCTAATTAGGCCAATTAGAGCACCATGGATTGAGAGCAAGGGGTTGATAACACGAGTGTGAATTGGGTCTGCTGTCGAATGCTGTCGAATGCCTTGATCGGTTGTTTTAGAGGGGGGTCTGCTGTCGAATGCCTTGATCGGTTGTTTTAGAGAAGGTTACGATCCTGTAACCAACCGACTCAAGGGGGTCTTGATTGCTCTAATAGAGATTCAAGGTCTTATCAAGAATCCTCCTCATTATGAATGAGGAATGGATCGAGTTAGAGGATCGTCAATCATTGATCCGGTTAGTGGCTAGGGGGAATCAATGCCTAAGTGATCTCTCAACCTGTAATTAGTTAGTGTAGTTGTTAGAGTAGTTTAGTTTCTTAATCTCAAATCTTGTGTGGCTAAATAACAAAGTGAAGCGAAGTAATGGTACACAAGCAGACCCTAGGCTTTTATAATTTTATTACTTTACTTCCACTATACTATGTTTGATTGTTGGTTATACTTGGCCTTCGATTGGGAGAGTAGTTTAGAGCGAGTCAAATTTTTAGTGTCGCTGCCGAGAAACGTCTAGGTTATCGGGAAAGGCTTAGGTTTGTTAATTTAGGCATTTTTGCTTTATTTTATTTCCACCCTTGCATTTCAAAGTGCTTTTGTTTTTGTAGGTCGAATCAAGGATCGCAATGGCTTCTCCAACATGTGGGGGGTATCCATCAACACCCTAATGGGGTTACATCGAAGCTCATGGGACAACCAAGATGGTGGAAGGCAAGGATTAGGGTTCTTTGACTAACCTCCCTTCCATGAAGAACAACCATACCCATTGGGATTTCAAGAAGTTCCCCACCCCAAAAAGATTTCCTTCCGCAACCCGAAGTGAAATTTGAGTTGGAGTTAGCTATATAGACCTACATGGGACATTCATAAAGACCATGTAATACTACAAAACTATATACCAAGAGCTCATTGGAGTTTTCCACAAATAACTTTGAAAGGGCATGCTCAAATGTGGCTTACCAACCCCTCCCTCCTGATTTGAAACTAGAAGAGAAAGTTGGGCAAGCTTGTGCACGGTTTATCTTTTACCATTTTGAAGAGGAAGAGGAGGTTGAAGAGGATATAAATGATGACTAAGTGGATTGAATCGCTTTTACTAACACTCTAGTCAGTGGCCAAGTGCAATCACATATCAGGAGTAGTATAGTGGAATTAAGTCTTAAAAGTCAATCCAGGCCCTAGATGTACTATTACTCAGCAAATTATATGTTATCTAGCAAACAAGTTATTGTGTTGATTACTAAATATTTAAGTAACAAAGCAGGTAAACTGATTCAAATTCAGATGCGAGAAGATCACCCCGGGTATGTTTCCCCTATTTCATAGTTAGGCTGATGTTATTTACTTCCTAGTACATTTCATTTTATACTTTTACCCCTGAGACCCCGGAATCAGTTTAGAATCTCAATCAAAGTAGATTAAACCCGCTTGAATAGACTACCCAGAGGGAGATTATCCTCAACCGGAATAGAATAGACTCCCTATACTGGAATGAAACTCGGTAAAGAGCAGTGAATCGATTGACTATTCGCACAAAACGATTCACTATCACTAATCAAAGGCACTCTATCCACTCAATCATATATTCTCTCTCCTAGGTCAAAGCAAGAATGGCGGAATGTGATCAAGATTAAAAAAATTGCACTTCAATTAGATATATAGTATCAAGGTTCACAAACCAAAGAGCAAAGACAATCAATCCTAACACATGGAACTAGGATTCTTCATACTCAACTGAGAGAGTGGATTACTTCACGAGAGAGAGAGAGAGAGAGAGAGAGAGAGAGAGATAGAGAGAGAGAGAGAGAGAGAGAGAGAGAGAGGAAAAAGTGGTTGAAACAACCATGCTCATGAAGATGATAACAATTTACTCCTGGATAACGATCTTCACTATGAGGGACGAAAGCCGAGCTCCAATGATGGATCGATGGCTCTAATCAGCTCCAAGGGGTGTCTCTTCATCACTTTCTCAATCTAGAACTTTGTTTTTGCTGTTAAAAGTCGAATCCCTCTTAAAAACGCCCGTGTTTCAGCCCATGTCCGTGTTTTTTAATGCGCACTGTTTCATTTAGTGTCCTCAGGGTAAAACATAGCTAGCCCTCAGTGAAACCCGATCGTGTTCTCCCTTCCCATGGTCGTGTTTCCTCTCGGTAGTAATTACACGGTCTATCTTATATATGAAACATGGTCGTGTTTTGTGGATACCCTAGTTGTGTTTCTTCTTGTAACCAATTACACGGTATGTCTACTGTATGAAGAACAATTGTTTTTTTACTTCTGCCCTGGTTGTGTTTCTTCTCGCAGTAGTTACACGGTCTGTGTTTAGCTCGGAAAATTGGTGGGGTTTTTGGACAGAACACTGGCAAGTAACACGCATGTGTTCCATTTAAGCTTGCCCTTGTTCTTCCTCTACCTCACTTATGGCTCGCCAAATGATCTTTGGTTAAACTTAAACTTGCGCAAATGCCCTCTTCACTTGGTATGACCTGAAATAATGCAAATGAAAACACCATAGTGTAAAGTAGGCCAAGGAGCACACTAATCAAAGCCAAATCAATTAAGAAACTAAATTGTAAACTTGTACGCATATGTTGTTATCAAACTCCCCACACCAATTCCCACCCCGAACTCTCGTCTAATCAAAAGACGAGTTGCCACACCTATGAGATATTCAGAAGCCGAGCCTCTCAACTTGAGAAGAAGAATATTCTCTCAATCAAGTCCCATGAGAAAGGGAAGTGTTGTACCGAAATATGAAAAGTAGTAGGTCAAGGTTGGACGCTAGAAAGCTATTCAAATTTTCCCCAAACACGTCCCCAGATGGTACTCCGATCGAGAAGAAAAGCCCTATTATGACTTAATTTCTATAGTATGACCTGTTGCCTCTCACGTGAGACAACTAAAAAAATTCAAAACTGGAGCACCTTTGAAAAAAAAAAAGAAGTTCAAAATGGGAGAGAGTCCAACACATAGGTCCCAATAGTAAACAGTATTAACCAACCAAAGAGGAGATGGAATAAAAACCCCTCATGTACTGACATCTTCTATAGTTCTACACTAGCCTCCCTAGGCTGCATACTATCATGGAATCCAGCAATTCAAAGCACACTGAGTAGGTAAATCACAAGGGATAATATACTTTGAGCGTTCAAATAAAATTTTGGACATTGTACAAGGCTCTAAGACAAGAAAAACAACATCATTCATCACACCCAAATACAATGGAACAACCCCCCCCCCCCCCACCCACACGCACACTTAAGAACCACATTATCCTCAATTGAGTAAAGATAAGGAGGGTAGAACGAGGTTACCAGATTGAATGATGAAAGATGGTAGGTCAGGAAAAGAAGATGGCAAGGTAAGGCTATCGCCGTCATCAAAACACACAACAGACCACAAGGGTGACTCAAAAGCATAAAAATTAAAGGAAAAAACAAACAAACCAGTGGTTGGGTTACCTAAAAGGCAAAATACACTTGTATAGCCAAAACTTTGACGATTTTGCCAAATATAGCCACTTTTGACGAAATACCAAATATAGCCATTACCGTCCAATTCTTTGATGGCGTTACTTACGGTGCTGACTGGATTAACGGATAATCCTATGTGGCGATTTCCGTCCGGTAAGTGTTTTCCACGTGGAAAAAAAAAGATAAGGGGAACAGATCAGCCCTCTCTCTTCCTTTTCATTTTTCCTTTCTTTCCTCCACAGTCGACAATCGACATCTTCCCTTCCCTTCGAACCCTACTCGCCCGACACCCCCGACGAAGACAACGAACAGACCAGGCGATTTCCACAACGGCGGCGCTGTTCACCGACGAGGAGCGCCCCAGCTTCCGATCGATCCCGGCAACGGAAAAAAACCCCTTTCCTCCTCGTACCAAATTTTTCTCCCATCCACTCATCCCATCCCAAAAACCCCTTTCCTCCGAGTCGGCGGCGATGCTTCCATGTGGTTAAATCGACAGTTCCGGCGAGCATTCCGACGACGCGATTGACCTCTGGTGAGCTCAAATCGACCATCGAAACACCAAGAATCCTAATTCCAATTCGACAGCAAAAAACCCTAATCCTCAGGATGCTTTTGGGAATCTCGGGCGGTTGATTTCCTGGGCTTCTTCCTTTCATTCGACCGGTAAGTGGCTGCTCTGGTTGCCCACCCTTTCCTCTTTTCTCTTGGGGGTGCAGTGTTGTAAAGTTGTTGCTGCCTTCGTTTTATAGATCGTTGCTGCCTTTGAGACATGATGAGAAGGAGCTGAGGAGCAGCGGCTACAGTGGAGGAGCAGCGGCTACGGTGGAGGTCGGTGTGGCACGGAGTCGGGGTCGGCTGGAATAGGCAGAGTCGCGGTCGGCTCGAAAAAGGGGAGGCGGGGTCGGGTTGAAACACCGGCGGCGAAGGGGTTAAGGTTCAGAGGAGGCGGCGGGCCTCCTTTAATCAGCGGCCGTGGTTCAGAGGAGG